AAGACCCGCAGGAAAGACGCGAAAGAAACGACGCACCTCCCCCACCACCGCAACCCGCCTCAGCAGCTCCCTGGGGCGGAACGTGCACGTCAGCAGCGCCGGCGCGTCTCTTTCTGCTGCTGTTGCTGTGCCTGCGCCTGTCGCTGTTTCTGTCGCTGTTGCTGTTTCCGTTACCGGTGCGCTGGCGTCGGGGGTAGCACCTTGCGCATCCGCGTCGCCTGCGTCTGCGTCGCCCTCGGGCGCGGGGGACGGCGAGGACGAGTTGGAGGCGGAGGCGGAGGCGGAGGAGGAGGACGCGCTGGAGGCGGGCGCGGGCGAGGGCGGGGGGAGGGCGCTGCGTGGGTGTCAATTGGTACGCGCAGCTCTGAGGGCAAATGAAAATGAAGGGAAGGGAAGGCTGGTCGTGTGCGTTGTACTATACTACACTATACTAGACGCGCGCGATAACGATAGTGAAATAAAAATAAAATAGCAAGAATAGCGACATGGGCGATAGGGGTCGGGTGGAAAAATGCGGGTGCGGGTGCGGGTGCGGGTGCGGAGCGGGATGTGGGATTGGAGGACGACAGGGCGGAGGACGAGGCGGAAAGGGATGGATGGATAACGCGAGCGAACGGGGCCCAGGCGGGAAGGGATGGAAGGAAGGAAGGAAGGGAAGCGGGGTTACGTAGGAGGGCAACGGGTTCCGCGGCGCTAGGTGTGATGGGAGATAGAGGGAGGAGTGGGTAGAGTGGATAGGATATAGGATGGGATGGGTGGGCACTGGGACGGCGACTTGACGACGGATGAACGACAAGCGAGACATGGTCGCGAGACCCGAAAGGAAGCAGGGAAACGAAGCAGAAGGAAAGAAACGAAAGACGAGACACTCACATCTCCATCTGCACGTCGGTCGCGGGGGAGGGGAAGAAGGTGCCGTCGGTGCTGGTGCTGCTGTTGCCGGCAGTGCTGGGCGAGCCGAGCGGGAGGCCCACCGTCTGCAGCTGGATCGCCGCGCGGTGGTGCACGGGGTGCATGTGCTTCCCCGCCTCCTCCTCGCCGTGCACATCCGCCTCGCCGTCGAGCGTCGCAATGGGCGGCAAGTCGTCCCCGCCCCTGACAATGCGCACGTCGGGGTCGACGTCCATGGGCACCAGCTCGTCCTCCATGTCCTCCTCCTCGTCGTCAGAAAAGTCGTCGTCCTCGTCGTCCTCCTCCTCGAGGGGTAGCGCCAGCGGCGCGGGGCGCGGCTCGTCCTCGTCCGCGACGACCCAGACGAGCCCGCGGAAGCGCGGCGGACGGCGGCGCGCGGGTGCGGCAAAGAAGGTGTTCTGCGCGTGATTGTCGCCCTCGAGGCCGTGCAGGAAGGGGAAGAGCACGCCGTCGGGCGGGTGCGCGACGATGTGCGCTGTGTGCAGCGCCGCGAACTGGGCGGCGGCGAGGACCTTGGCGGCGGGACAGCTGGACAGCGGCGGCAGCGCGTCTAGCGCGGGCTGTTTATGCACGAGGCCGTGCAACGGCAGCGGCGAGGGGTGTGTGCTCGTCGGGGGCGGCGACGTCGAGGCCATCGTCGTCGTCGTTTCGATTAAAGTGCCGATTCCCTTTTTCGGCTAGGACTGCCTCGTTGCGTGCCGGTCAATCACCGCACATCAGGCTTCCCTGCCATCTCGTAATTCCCCACTTTTTGCGTCCGAGAAGGACGCGGATGCAATTGGCGGCTTACCTCCACATCGGAGTCGTTCAATTTTTTTTTAAATCATTCGAGTTCACGCTAGAGTGCCCTCACACAAGCTCAAATCCACTGCACTCCAATCCAATCCCACACTCTGCCATCTACCCTTCATCCAGCTTCATGATTCATCCTTCTTATCACTCGCCCCGTCAGTGGTCACCGCATCAGATCGCGTGCTTAGAATATCCCAACATACACGGAAAGTGCGAGCTTTCGGATTGTGCGAAAATGGCAAGCTGTATGTAATAATGAAAGCATGAATGTTCTGTACATGCGAACGAAGTTCGGAGTCGTACGAAGAACACTCCCGATTTCTTCATCCGAATAGACCTCACCTACCCAAGTTCCAAACCAATAAAATGAGGCTCGGTAGCGGTGGTCCGTATCTGCTTCACTGTAGTAGGTATTTGAGTTATCACGCACAGCAGAGCACGCCTGTTCGACTCAGGCCCGAGCCCTGCCAAGCCAGCGGCATCAACGAAAATCCTTTTTCAAGGCAATTACAGGAACTCGGCAGCTTATTCAGGGTCAAATGAGTAGGAATAAGGCTCGGTAGCGGAGGGTCCGCATCTGCGTTCAATGATGCATCTTCCCATGTGCAGCAGAGTAAGCCTGTTCGACTCAGGCCCAAGCCGTGATTTCTCGCCGTTCAGGATCGTTTTTTTGAGGGAATCCCAACGCAGCAGTGTAATCAGGCTGAAATGAGCACGAATAAGGCTCGGTAGCGGAGGGTCCGCAACTGCTTTCAATATGGGATGGCTTTTGTAATAACAGAGTAAGCCTGTTCGACTCAGGCCTGAGCCATAACTGCCCCTCGAGGCCTTTTTGCAAAGAAATTACAGGAACTCACCAGCTTATTGAGGTTCAAATGAGTAGGAATACGGCTCGGTAGCGGAGGGGCCACAACTACTTTCAATATGGGATGACTTTTTTAATAACAGAGTAAGCCTGTTCGACTCAGGCCCGAGCCATAACTGTCCCTCGAGGCCTTTTTGCAAAGAAATTACAGGAACTCACCAGCTTATCCAGGTTCAAATGAGCAGAAGTAAGGCTTAGTAGCGGAGGGTCCGCTTCTGCTTTCAATCGTATTCCTTGCACGTGCAGCAGAGTAAGCCTGTTCGACTCAGGCCCGAGCCATTGTCCTCCCTCCCCGCCCATTTTTTTACAATGAAATCCCAGGAACTCACCAGTTTATCCAGGTTCAAATGAGCAGGAATACGGCTCGGTAGTGGATGGTCCACATCTGCGTCCAATAGTCCAGGGCTCTTGTTCTATGCAGTAGAGTAAGCCTGTTCAACTCAGGCCTGAGCCATTGTCCTCCCTCCCCGCCCATTTTTTACAATGAAATCCCAGGAACTCACCAGTTTATCCAGGTTCAAATGAGCAGGAATACGGCTCGGTAGTGGATGGTCCACATCTGCGTCCAATAGTCCAGGGCTCTTGTTCTATGCAGCAGAGTAAGCCTGTTCGATTCAGGCCTGAGCCCTTCATCGTTCCAACTTTTTTGCAAAAGAATTCAAGGAATCCCAGTTTATCCAGGTTCAAATGAGCAGGAATACGGCTCGGTAGTGGAGGGTCCGCATCTGCTTTCAATGATTGTTTCCCATAGCACTATGCAGCAGAGTAAGCCTGTTCGACTCAGGCCCGAGCCACTATCGCGCTTTGATAGTTTTTTACACCGAAATTACAGAAACTCACCAGCTTATCCAGGTTCAAATGAGTGGAAGTATGGCTTGGTAGTGGATGGTCCACATCTGCGTTCAATATTCAGTGATGAGTCTTCTCATGTGCAGCAGAATAAGCCTATTCGACTCAGGCCTGAGCCATCATTCTCTCCTCCGCCAGCCTTTTTCAAAAAAATTCAAATACTCCCCAGCTTATTCGAGTTCAAATGAGCTGGAATAAGGCTCGGTAGCGGAAGGTCCGCATCTGCTTCCAATTATCTTTCCTCCAACATCCAGCAGAGGAAGCCTGATCAACTCAGGCCTGAGCCATAGTTATGCTGTCTTGGTTGATTTTTTCAAGGCACTGACAGAAACTCACCAGCTTATTCAGGTTTCAAAGTACAGGATTAAGGCTCGGTAGCAGAGGGTCCGCATCTGCTTTCAATGAATTTTCCGTCCAATCAGTTCAGCAGAAGAAGCCTGTTCGACTCAGGCCCGAGCCATGGTAGTCTTCTATGGTTTTTTGAACCAACCTCCAGGGAAAATCACCTACCTAACCAAGGTTCAAAGCAAAGGAATAAGGCTCGGTAGCGGAGGGTCCACATCCGCTTTCAATACATCAATACCCTTCACCAGCAGAGCATGCCTGTTCGACTCAGGCCCGAGCCCTAAGTGGCAAAGCCTTTTTTTGAGGATCATCTATAAACTCGCTAACTTATCCATCTTCGAATGAGTAGTCAGAATAAGGCTCGGTAGCGGAGGGTCCGCGTCTGCTTTCAATAGGTCGTGCGCAGCCTGGCAACAGCAGAGTAAGCCTGTTCAACTCAGGCCTTAGCCATCATTCTTTCCTCCGCCAACCTTTTTCAAGAAAATGCAAGGACTCACCAGCTTATTCAGGTTGAAATGAGTAGAAATAAGGCTCGGTAGCGGAGGGTCCGCATCTGCTTCCAATATATGGTCCTCCTTTCTATGCAGCAGAGTAAGCCTGTTCGACTCAGGCTTGAGCCATGGTAGTCGTCTCCGGTTTTTTGAACCAACCTCCAGGGAAAATTACCTACCTAATCAGGGTTCAAAGCAAATGAATAAGGCTCGGTGGTGGGGGTCCGCATCTGCTTTCAATAATTGGTCTTTATTATGCAGCAGAGGAAGCCTGTTCGACTCAGGCCTGAGCCATGATTGTTCTCTTTCCCATTTTTTGAACCAATATCCGGAGAGATCAGCCATCTAGCAAGGCTCAAATGAGTAGAAATAAGGTTCGGTAGCGGAGGGTCGGTAACTGCCCTTCCTGGTCTGATCTTCGAGAAAATCCCTGCAGAGGAAGCCTGTTCGACTCAGGCCTGAGCCATTGTTTCCTTGGTCGAAATGTTTTCCAAGAAAATTCAAAGGCTCACCAGTTTATCCAGGTTTTAAATGGGGAGAAACAAGGCTCGGTAGCGGAAGGTCCACGTCTGCGTTCAATGGTGCATCTTCTCATGTGCGGCAGGGACAGTCTGTTCGACTCAGGCCTGAGCCATGACCCATTGCTTTTTTGGCGAACTTTTTTCGAAAGAATTCTAGGAATTCACAAGCTTATTCTGGGTCAAATGAGCAGGAATAAGGCTCGGTAGCGGAGGGTCCACATCTGTGTCCAATATCACGATTGTGCAGTATTGCATGAAGCAGAGTAAGCCTGTTTGATCCAGGCCGGAGCCATTCAAGTCTTCCTTCTCTGGCACTTTGAACTAACCTCCTGAGAAATCACCCACCTCATAGGGTTCAGATGGGTAGAAATAAGGCTCGGTAGCGGAGGGTCCGTATCTGCTTCCATTCCAGTCTTCCTTCAGCATGTGTCATTGCAGCAGATCTTAAGCCTGTTCAACTCAGGCCCGAGCCATCACTCTTTCCTCCGCCAACCTTTTTCAAGAAAATTCAAGGATTCCATGGTTGAAACGAGTGTGGATATGATTCGGTAGCGGAGGGTCCGTATCTGCATCCGATACCTATAGAGCCATCACTGCATGCAGCAGAGCAAGCCTGTTCGAGTCAGGCCTGAGCTATGGTTATGCTCTGTCTCGCTTGATTTTTTCAAGGCACTTACAAAAACTCACCAGCTTATTCAGGTGCAAGTGAGTACAAATGAGGCTCGGTAGTAGAGGGTCTATATCTGCTTTCAATTCATATCCGATGTCATGAGCAGCAGAGACAGTCTGTTCGACTCAGGCCTGAGTCATTCAGCTTTCTGAACCATTTTTTGCAAGAAATTCCAGGAACTCACCAGCTTATCCAGGTTGAAGTGGGTAAGAATAAGGCTCTGTGGCGGAGGGTCCGCGTCTGCGTCCAATGATCCATAGATGAGTCACTGCATGCAGCAGATGAAGCCTGTTCGACTTAGGCTCGAGCCATGGTTATGCTCTGTACCGCTTGGTTTTTTCACGAAGCTGTCAGGAACTCACAACTTCATCAGGTTGAAATGAGCAGGAATAAGGTTCGGTAGAGGAGGGTCCGCATCTGCTTTCAATAGGGTGTCAACTACTTGCAACAGCAGAGTGATCCTGCTCGACTCTGGCCTGAGCCACGGTCCATTATTTCTTTGGTGAACTTTTTTCGAGCACAATCCACGGACTCCACATCTTATTAAAGCTCAAATGAGTAGGAATAAGGCTCCGTAGCGGAGGGTCCTCCGTATCTGCTTTCAATTCGTATTCTGTCTCCGTTCTGCAGCAGAGTAAGCCTATTCGACTCAGGCCCGAGCCGACTCTTTTGGCCCAACGTGCAGGGAAATTATCCACCTAACGAGGTTCAGATATGCAGGAATACGGCTCGGTAACGGAGGGTCCGCATCTGCTTTCAATGATTCGGTCATGACCTCGTACAGCAGAGTAAGTCTGTTCGACTCAGGCCCGAGCCATTATTTTCTGCCTACAAATATTTTAAAAGAAAATTCAAGGACTCCCAGTTTACTCAGGTTCCAATGAGAAGGAATAAGGCTCGGTAGCGAAGGGTCCGTGTCTGCTTTCAATAAGGTCTTTTTCACCGCCATGTTTAGCAGAGACAGTCTGTTCGACTCAGGCCCGAGCCATTCCCCTTCGGAACTCGCCTTTTCAAGAAAATTCAAAAACTCCCAGCTTATTCAGAGTCAGATGAGCAGGAATAAGGCTCGGTAGCGGAGGGTCCACATCTGCATTTAATGATGCCTCTTCTCATGTGCAGCAGAGTAAGCCTGTTCGACTCAGGCCCAAGCTGTTATTCCTCGCCGTTCACGGTCGTTTTTTTGAGGGAATCCCAACAACGCAGCAGTGTAATCAGGCTGAAATGAGCAGGAATAAGGCTTGGTAGCGGAGGGTCCACATCTGCTTTCAAATAAGCTGTCCACTCAGTTCAGCAGAGTAAGCCTGTTCGAATCAGGCCCGAGCCATCGTAATCATCTACCGTTTTTTGAATCAACCTTCAGGGAAAATCACCTACCTAATCAAGGCTCAAAGTAAAGGAATAAGGCTCGGTAGCGGAGGGTCCGCATCTGTTTTCAATACATCAATACCCTTCACCAGCAGAGCACGCCTGTTCGACTCAGGCCCGAGCCCTAAGTGGCAAAGCCTTTTTTGAGGATCATCTATAAACTCGCTTATTCAAGTTCAAATGAGCTGGAATAAGGCTCGGTAGCGGAAGGTCCGCATCTGCTTCCAATTATCTTTCCTCCAACATCCAGCAGAGGAAGCCTGTTCAACTCAGGCCTGACACTGGTTGAACATTTCGAGTTTTTTGGTGAGGAAATTGGTAAAAAACTTTACCAATATTACAGTAATTTTTCATCGAAAAAGTAGGTGAAAAACTCGAAACTTTCTCTGAACTTTTTCTGTTTTTGGTGAAAAAAGTGATTATGAGTCAAAAAGTTCTGTATATATTTTGAGTTTTTCACCTATTTTTTCAGTGAGAAATTCCCGTAAAATTGGTAAAGTTTTTCACCAATCTTCTCACTGAAAAACTTGAAATGTTCAACCAGTGTGAGCCATAGTTATGCTGTCTTGCTTGATTTCTTCAAGGCACTGACAGAAACTCACCAGCTTATTCAAGCTCAGAGGAGGAGGAATAAGGCTTGGTAGTGGAGGGTCCGTTTCTGCTTTCAATGTGGTAACCGCCCACTTGCAGCAGAGTGAGCCTGTTCGACTCAGGCCCGAGTGTCGGAAAAATGCCAAATTCCTTGCAACGGTTTGAATCAACTTGTGGCCTTGAGAGGACTAGTGAGTGGTTGAAAGCCACTCAGCCACACCTTCGAGGCACTCACAAGCCGTTGCAAGCCAAGCAAGACTTGCAAGGAGTCCCAAGCTGTGGCAAGGCATGCTATACCGACTCGCAAGGCACCACAAGTTGTGGTAGGGCCTGTAAGATCGGCAAGTCGTAAGACAACTCGGAGATCTTCTCTCCCCTACTACTTACTTAGTGCCGGGGGTCACAAAGGGTCTTAGTCGATGTTATTTTACATGCAAATTGCATGCAGCTGCGGCAGTTCGTGTTATTTTAAGATTGCCGAGAGGTGTGGAGCTGAGGGGAGCTGCGTGGAGCGCAACCCGGTGGCCCGAGCGAGGTACATAACTCAGTTTATGTCCTTCGAAACTTTACCTGTATACACATGTGTGGTTCAATCCTTAGTTAAAGCAGTAATCGTAGTTACGTTTGCACTTACTAGCATTTGTCTCACTAACTTGGTTCATTACAAAAATAAGCAGCACCTCAGTTAAGACAGAGTAAGAATAGGACTCGGAAATAGAACTTTTGTTATTTCTAGCTTGGGGACCTTGGGACGCGCCGCAAGACCATTTGCCACCGGGGAACTTGAGAGCCACGGTCTGGATTGCAAGTGCTTTCGTTAACCTGACCTATGTGTTGCAAGCCGTGTAAAACCAAATGACCTTGCAACGGCTTCCGACATATTCGGAGCCGTTGCGTGCAATTTGAGATTTTTCCGACAAGCCATCTGGTTTCTTGAAGACCTTTTTACACCGAAATTACAGGAACTCACCAGTTTATCCAGGTTTCAAAGCAAAGGAATAAGGCTCGGTGGCGGACAGTTTGCATCTGCTTCACTGTACACTTTTGGAATTCACATGCACAGCAGAGCAAGCCTGTTCGACCCCTGAGCCAGCGGCATCAACGAAATCCTTTTTCAAGGCAATTACAGGAACTCAGCAGCTTATTCAGGGTCAAATGAGTAGGAATAAGGCTCAGTAGTGGATGGTCCACATCTGTGTTCAATGATGCATCTTCTCATGTGCAGCAGAGTAAGCCTGTTCGACTCAGGCCCAAGCCGTTATTCCTCGCCATTCACTAACATTTTTTTGAGGGAATCCCAACAACGCAGCAGTGTAATCAGGCTGAAATGAGCAGGAATAAGGCTTGGTAGCGGAGGGTCCACATCTGCTTTCAAATAAGCTGTCCACTCAGTTCAGCAGAGCAAGCCTGTTCGACTCAGGCCCGAGCCATGGTAGTCGTTTTCGGTTTTTTGAACCAACCTCCAGGGAGAATCCCCTACCTAACCAAGGCTCAAAGTAAAGGAATAAGGCTCGGTAGCGGAGGGTCCATATCCGCTTTCAATACATCAATACCCTTCACCAGCAGAGCACGCCTGTTCGACTCAGGCCCGAGCCCTAAGTGGCAAAGCCTTTTTTTAAGGATCATCTATAAACTCGCTAACTTATCCATCTTCGAATGAGTAGTCAGAATAAGGCTTGGTAGCGGAGGGTCCACGTCTGCTTTATCCCATTGATGAGTCGCTGCATGCAGCAGAGCAAGCCTGTTCGACTCAGGCCTGAGCCTCCAGCGAACTTATTTTTCAAGAAAATTCCAGGAACTCACCAGGTTATCCAGGTTCAAATGAGTAGGAATATGGCTTGGTAGCGGAGGGTCTGCATATGCATTGAATAGCCCATTGATGAGTCACTTGTGCAACAGAGCAAGCCTGTTCGACTCAGGCCCGAGCCATCACCTGAGCAATTTTTTCAAGGCACTTACAAAAACTCACCAGCTTAATCAAGTTCAAATGGGTAAGAATAAGGCTCGGTAGCGGAGGGTCCGCATCTGCTTTCAATAAGTATTGCTGCCACTTACAGCAGGGTGAGCCTGTTCGACTCAGGCCCGAGCCATTGGTGAACGCGAATGCAATTTTCTTTTTCAAGGAACTCAAAAGTGACACACCAGCTTATCCAGGTTCCAATGAGCAGGAATAAGGCTCAGTAGTGGATGGTCTGCATCTGCTTTCAATGCATATCCGGTGTCATATGCAGCAGAGTAAGCCTATTCGACTCAGGGCCGAGCCATTCCCCTTCGCAGCTCCTTTTTTTCTAGAAAATTTGAAGACTCCCCAGCTTATTCAGGTTCAAATTGAATAAGGCCCGGTAGCGGGGGGTCCGCGTCTGCGTCCAATAGCCCAGGACTCTTTCAACAGCAGAGACAGCCTATTCGACTCAGGCCCGAGCCATTATGCATTACCCTTCCTCCCCACCAATTTTTCACAAGGAAATTCCGGGAACTCACCAACTTATTCAAATTTAAATGAGCAGGAATAAGGCTCGGTAGCGGAGGGTCCGCATCTGATTTCAATGTCGCATAAATGTGAAACTGCATGCGGCAGAGTACACCTGTTCGACTCAGGGCCGAGCCATTATTCCTGCGATGAAGTTGTTTTTCAGGAAAATTCAAAGACTCCACAACTTCATCAGGTTCCAATGAACAGAAACAAGGCTCGGTGGCGGCGGTCCGCATCTGCTTCATTGTATGCTGTTTTGGATTTAGATGCACAGCAGAGCAAGCCTGTTCGACTCAGGCTTGAGCCATTATCTAGTTCTCTGGTCAGACTTCTTTTTTAGCCAACATCCGGAGAAATCTCCCATGTCATCAAATTCAAATGAGTAAGAATAAGGCTTGGTAGCAGTGGTCCGCATCTGCTTCATTGTAGGCTGCTTTGGATGTAGATGCACAACAGAGTGTAAGCCTGTTCGATTCAGGCCTGAGCCATTGTCTTCCTCCTCTAACATTTTGAACCAACCTTCAAAGAAGTCATCCTTCTAGTAAGCCGCAGGATTAAGGCTCGATAGCGGAGGGTCCGCATCTGCTTTCAATTAGGTGTCTTTTATCTGCAACAGAGGAAGCCTGTTCGACTCAGGCCTGAGCCGTTCTGCCCTTTGACCTTTTTTTTCGAAATAATTATAGACACTCGCTACCTTATCTAGCTTCAAATGAGTAGGAATAAGGCTTGGTAGTGGAGGGTCTGCATCTGCTTTCAATGATGCTTCAACATTCATGCAGCAGAGTAAGTCTGTTCGACTCAGGCCTGAGCCATGATCTCGTTCCCATTTTTTGAACCAACCTCCGGAGAGATCATCCACCTAATAAGGTTCAACGCAGCAGGAATAAGGCTCGGTAGCGGAGGGTCTGCCTCTGCTTCCATTCCCGGTTTCAGCATATACAGCAGAGTAAGCCTGTTCGACTCAGGCCCGAGCCATGGTTATGCTCTGTCTCGCTTGATTTTTTCAAGGAACTTATAGAAACGCACCAGCTTATCCAGGTTCAAATGAGCAGGAATAAGGCTCGGTAGCGGTGGTCCGCATCTGCGTCCAATATCACGATTGTGCAGTACTGCATGCAGCAGAGTAAGCCTGTTCGACTCAGGTCCGAGCCATTGGCTTTCACCGAATCATTTTTCAAGAAAATTCAAAGACTCACCAGTTTATCCAAGTTCAAATGGGTAGAAATACAGCTCAGTAGCAGAGGGTCTGCATCTGCTTTCAATATCCCATAGAGGAGTCACTGCATGCAGCAGAGTAAGCCTGTTTGACTCAGGCCCGAGCCATGGGATGTTGTCTGTCATCTCCGATTTTTTGAACCAACCCCCCGGGAAAATCATCCACCCAGTACGGTTCAAAAGGGTAGGAATACGGCTCGGTAGCGGAGGGTCCGCATCTGCCTTCAGTTGATCGCGTTGCTTATGCAGCAGAGTAATCTGTTCGACTCGGGCCTGAGCCATTATGCTCCTTCTCGCTTGCTTTTTCCACGGAGCTTTTGAGAACTCACCAGCTTATTCAGGTTCAAACAAGCAGAAATAGGGCTTGGTCGCGGAGGTCTGCATCTGATTATTGTAAATTGTTTAGCTGATGCACAGCAGAGCAAGCCTATTTGACTCAGTCCCGAGCTATCAATTTTCATGCGCATCCCAGTTTTGAACCAAATCCCGGCGAGAGACTATCTCACAAGTCATCGAAGGGATATGTATAGAGGCTGGCTCACTTCTGGCTCGAGATCTGGCTTGACGTTTTGCGAAGCTCCTATTGCCATTTCTTGTACCGTTTTATAGCAAAAATACAAAACGAATGACGGTCCCACAGTATAATCAGGCCGAAGCATGGTATTCATGATGAGGCCTTGGATGTGCGATTTCCTTGTGCGCCGACAGATTTCAACAAGAGAGGGCAATGATGAGAGGAGGAGGACAGAGAACCAAGGGATTGCTATCCTCACCCAGAGCACCGCACGGCGGTGGAAAAAAGATACAATCGACTTCCCTCCAGTTCTGCTGAATCAAACCTTGAAATCTAAGTTGACGGACGAGAAGAATCCGGCGTTGATATGAACGAGAGCAGTCCGCGGATTCAAGGATGAAATCGAAACCTTAGTTTGCGCGGGTCCTTGCTAAGACCGAGGCTTGCTTTGTATCAGAGAGACAGGAAGTTTAGCAATATATTTCCCGAAGAAATTAATGATATGCTGCAACTAGAAACCTTTGAACGCCAGTACTAGCCACCCAAAGCGACCCAGAAGAGTCTTCTGCGAGAAAACAGATCACCAGCAGATCGATCATCATCATCATCGCCATTCTATCCGTGATGCAAGCGTAGCCAAGCGAAGGGCATGGCGTCCGTGGTTTCAATGGCGCTAACGGGCCACAGGTTCAACGTTTAACGTTAAACGTTAAACGGTTCGGAAGGAAGCGGCGGCACGCCGGCTTGCGGCTACGCGGCGGCCATCATTGCCCGTGACGAGATGTTGAGATGGCTCTCTTGACCTCCCACCATGGCTCGTGCCACTCGTAGGCTCGCCCTTCTCGCCCTCTTCCTCGCTCTGCACAGCCCGGGATCCCAAGCCGCCACCCCAACGACCAGCTCCAAATCGTACCAAATCACTCCGCCCGTCGCATGCCCAGGCTTATACTACACCTACGGCGGCGTCTGCTGTACCGGCAACACGATGCTGGACTGCAGCTACTCCGACATTGCGGACGGATTCCAAACTCCGTCCAGTTGCTGCCCCCCCGGCGCCTTCGGCTGGGCGCTCCCCCTATCCGACGCGCAGATCGCCGCCGCGCAGGCGAACGGGACGTACACCGGCTGCCCGGGGAACATGCGCCTCGGGCTCTGTTGCTCCGGGGGGATAATCTACGAGGACGACAGCGGCGCAGACGTGTGCAGTCTTGGGACGGCGGTGTTCACCGCGACGACGCTGTCGGACGGGCGCGTCTCGACGAGCAGCTTCCCGCCGGGGCCAACGTCGAGCGAGCCGAGCCGCATCACGTCTGTGCCTACCCCGACGTCGACAGGTGCTGCGGCTGGTGCGAGTCTGGGGCTCGATGTACGGATTCTGGGAGGCGCTGCGGTTGCGCTGGGGGCCCTGCTGTAGGATGGAAAATATATCGACAATGAACGAACCGAAACTATATGCCAGGTTCGATATTCAGACCATACCTTTATCACGCCTTCGCCGGTCGTCGGTTGCAGACACGCGATGACACATGGCTCAAGCCTGAGTCGAACAGGCGCCCTCCGCAAGCTACGCTCACTCCCATCAAGCCAGCGAAAGCAGATGCAGACCGTCCGCCACCGAGCCTTACTTCTGTAGTTCTGAACTGGATAAGGAGGGTGCATGTATGTATATACCACTTTGAAAGTTGGAAGTTCAAGTTGTCTTGTTCTGGTGGGTTAGAAGGTTCTGATTAGTGTTAACTTCCTCCAAGTCATGAATGCTAATTCGAGTTTCGAGTTTCAAATCCAAGGGATAATCGATAAGGCTCGGTAGCGGGGTCCGCATCTACTTCTAATGCGGTTTCCGTTTACAATGCACGCAGAACACACCTGTTCCTCGACTCAGGTCCCAGCCATCCTGTGTTTCCATGCCATTCTTTTTGTACAAGGTCGGAGGAGACCCACCTAATCAAGTTTTCCTCATCTATTTTAGAGCTTTCTACCGGACAATGCGGGTCATGGTTCTGGTCAGAGCTTTTTTATGACATACCAAGGGCACATTCAAAGTTCCGAACCAGTGCAATAAGGCTCGGTAGCGGAAAGTCCGCGTCTGTTTTCAATACCCCACTTCCCTTTGTGCAGCAGAAGAAGCCTGTTCGACACAGGCCCGAGCCACGGTGGAATAAAGTAAGCTTTTTTCAAGTTACGGGCACTCACCAGCTTATCCAGGTTCAACTGAGTAGAAATGAGGCTCGGTAGCGAAGGGTCCGCGTCTGCTTCCAATAGTTCGCCATTGAAGCGGTACAGCAGGAGAAGCCTGTTCGACTCAGGCCCGAGCCGTGGGTGGGGAAATCCGGTCTTTTTTCAAGCAAGTTACAGGAACTCAACAGCTTATCTAGGTGCAGCTGAGTAGAAATAAGGCTCGGTAGCGGGGGGTCCGCGTCTGCTTCCAATAGTTCGACATTGAAGCGGTACAGCAGAGCACGCCTGTTCGACTCAGGCCCGGGTCATGACTGGAATTCGAGCCTTTCTTTTTCTCTCTCTCGGCTTAAATAAATGATCCACCCGACGAGCTCCGCGCGGACGTGAGCAAGGCGCGGTGACAGAGGGTCCGCATCTGCTTACAATCAAAGAGATCCATTGCATGCAGTACAAGCCTGTTCGACTCAGGCCCGAGCCATTCCGGGGCTATATCCTTTTTCTCTCCCTCTTGCGCTTCGACAGGCGCATTGCGTCTGCATGGTAGTACTCCGGCGACGAAAAGGCCATCGGCTGGCCTTGATGCCCCGAGTGTACTCATGCGCAAAAAAACAGAACCAGATGTGTCGATTCCCGAAATGTATTCTCTTTCTACATTCTAGAGTAACGACCTGACTGAAAACAATAGATGTGGCACAAAACTGGCAGTGATGAGGGCTCGACACCCCTCAATGCGCCAACAAAGTGCGCCGCCCCTCAGGCGCCGAAAAACCGCGCGAACATCTCCGGTGCGCGCCAATACAGGCTTTCCTCTCCGCCAGCGGGCACCGCGGTCCACGGCACCAGCGTGCCCGCAAATCCGACGATTCCCAGCACGTACGCCACCTGTATCGCTGCGCAAGATCGCGAGCGTCAGAGTAAGAAATCAGGAAATTTGAAGCGTGGCGCTCACAGGTTCTGTACGCGGGGGTGCGCCGCAGCTCGTAGCCGAGCTGCGGGATGCCCATAATGTTGCAGAAGATGTGCGCGGTGAGCGGCGGGAGGAGCGAGGACGTGCGGAGAAAGAGGAAGGAGGCATGCGCGCCGAAGAGGGTCGTGTAGGCTGCCTGGAAGACTGAAGAAAGTAAATTGTGTGCATTAGTAAAGAACCGATACGGAGAGGGAGGCGCACGGGTGGAGATCAAAGCGCGCTTGAGGGCTGCCGTGGTGCGCCCGCCGCGGGTGTAGGTATCCCAGGCGTGGTGGACGTGTGCTGCAGATCGCCGTCAGTATTTCGTCGCGTATGAAGCGAGTATCCCACCCAGCCCGAACATGAGCGGTGCAAACGCGATCATCATCCCGCGGCGCGCGCTGCAAAGCGCGTACACAGCGAGCACGCATGCGCGAAAGACGATCTCCTCGGTGAGCGGACCCTGCATTGCATCATCCGCGTTAAAACGACGCGTTCCGCGCATTTCGGACCACGCACCCAGAGATAATTCCGGAATCCGATCCAGGTGCAGAACACATTCGAAAAGTCGCGCTTCACGGAGTAGTGCGCCTGCCCGGGGAGCGTCGATGCTACGAAGCTTGCGTAGAGCGGCCCGAGGAACAGAACGGGTGTTTGTAGACATGAGAGGATCGTCGCTGGCCAGCTCACGCCGAGCATTGCCAGCGTGGCGTTCCAGGGGAGGGGATACTAGTGGGCGTGAGAGGTGCGGGCGAGGAGGGGGAAAGGACGAACGGACGTACGTCGGATCGAGCGACGACCACGTACAAGACGACGCAGTTAAATGCCGACGTGAGTGTCGCAGCAATCAAACGGGCGCGGATAACGGGCGGGTCGTCTCGGCTACCCGCGTTGGATGATGTGAGGCGTGTTCTGGCGCTTCTGGCGACATATATAGACCCGACGTAGGAGGAAGAGAAGAGAAGGGCGAGCAGATGCGAGGTGAAAGGTGTCAAGGGTGGCATTGCAGCGACAACGAGGAAAGGCTAGGAGCTGGTGACTCGAAAAGGGACGTTCTAAAGCTAGAGTCCAAGGATGCGTAGTTTCGATGCAGCAAGTCGCGTCTCAGCAGAAAAGGAAAGCGGATGTGATGGCCGATCAACGCGGTCGGATCAACTTGGACCGTGGAAGTTGCCGTTTCTTTACGTTCTTCCCACTTCACGCAACCCATGCTACCGTTCAACGTTCAACTCGAGCACTCATCAAACCCCAGATCACATGCCCTACGCTTGCATCAAAAGATGGATCACGGCTCGGACTCGGACTGGGCTTGGACTGGGCTCTGTTGCAGTGTCTGAGCTGTATCTGCATCCGACATCACCCCAAAACTTATAACGGCGCTTCTCTGGGAGTCTCTAGGGTTGCTCGAATTTCTAGTTGCAAGTCTTGTCGAATTTCTGCGGGAAGGAGATTGCCAAACTTTCCGTCTCCTTTGAATGGACGCAATGAAAGAGAAAATATGATTTCGACCATCATGGCACTTGCTTGACTCTGAAGAAATCTCGGATCTTTGTTGGATCTGTGTTGGATCTGTGGCTTATCTGGAACGCGTCGTCTCATGATCCGTCATCTTTTGCGCTTCTCTATATGTGGATCTTTCTTTTCCTGTCCACCTTCCTGTGGTGTGTCGCACCACTCAGTGACCTTCAAATTGAATTGGGAAACCCTCTCGTTATCAGACCCGAAATGTTGTATTAGAGCCGCGCCGAATTCTTTGTCCCTTTGGCCCCGTCTTCCATAACGGTCAGCAGCCTGAGAGAGCGATGTTGATGCATCTTTTTCTGACCGACGTGTGGTGTTTAACAGGATGTTGTGAGGGAGGTCCGCAATCTCGTGGTCCTCTGTCCTCTTCCTCCCACCAACCCTCTTCCCTCTTTTCTCCAAGTCTACTGGCGTACACAACGGAGTTATGAGAGTTGTAGACGTGTACACCATCGTGCCTATCTGTATTTGGTTCCTTGCTCGCGGTGTACACGGCCATGTGCCCAGGGAAACTAGCAAGGGTACGTGGAAACTCTCCCTATCCTGTTCTCAGCTCATCGTGCATTTTATTTAGCCTCATCGACTGATATTGCCTCGTCTCCACCGTCCTTCTCTTTTAACACAATTCTCGAGATGACGACCTGCGTACCGGCTACGATCACCTACCTTTACGACTCGTCAGCCAACTTCACGCTTTCCATAACAAACAACGGTGTCTCCCAACCGCCGCCACCATCCGCGACTACGACTGGAAACTTCACCATTGCTTCCAATGTCGTCCGATCCTGGAATCGGCATCCGATATCCCGACGCGGCGCATTGTCCCAATCAATTACCTCCTCTACGATCGACTCGAGCCTTCATTCCTATATTTGGGCATCGGTAGATGTACCGGAGGCTTGGTATATCCTGGTAGCTAGCTTATCCTTCACCACGCCCATCGAATCCGTGCCATTTTTCGTGAGAAACGGAACCTATACTTCGCGCATCCGCGCCACATCTATGTCGTCCTCTGCGTCCGATTCCAACTCAATCAACCAGACTATATTATCCGAGCCGGGCAGTTCCTCCGTTTCAGGTATCCCCCCACCTCAGGCCCACACCTCGAAAATCAACCGTGGGGCGATAGCCGGCGGCGTCGCAGGTGGACTCGTCCTGCTCATCGCAGGGATTGCGCTCCTCCTCCGTTTCCGCCGCTCTCGAATCGCCTCTACCCCCGCGAATATCCCCCCGCCCTCGTCTACCTCGATGCCGCCCGTGATGCTATTGCCGCTGAACCATGGGGAGACCGTCCTCGCATTCGACCGGCCCATCGTGCCGGGCGTGATCGACTCGCCGGAAGCGATGTTGGATAAACTCGCCCGCATGCCCATCCCCCCAATATCCCACCGTCTACCCCGATACCGTCCATGACGCTTTCTGGGGAGACCGTTCCCGCGTCCGACCGACCCATCGCGCCGGGCGTCGTCGAGTCGCAGGAAGCGATGCTGGATAAACTCGCCCGCATGTGCGAGTCGATGCGCGCGCTTGAACGGGAGGAGCACGTGCACGAGACAGCGGTAGCGCAGGGCGGCGAGAGAGAGGGAGAGGAGGTACATTTGTTGGAAGCGCCATCGCCTGATTCCGAGGCAGAGGCGCAAGTCGCAGATGCACCGCCGCCGCGGCCTGGCGCATCGTCCAGCGGCGAACCCACGGATGGAACAGCCGATCTTGCACAGCAGCTGAGAGCGATGGCGGAGAGACTCGCGCTGATGGAGGCCCGTATGCAGACACAGGACCTGTTGGAGGAGCGCCCACCTGATTATACTACTGGGCCATTGTACTGATTGATATACATTCGCTCTGTAATTTACAAGTGCCAGTGGTGGTTCAACCACTACACGATTGATTTAACGCCGAGAATAGCGAAAAATTCAAGAGCGGTATTGATTTAACGTAAGTGAGTCCGCACATATGTACGCTCTACTACCACGGGATCGGCCCTTCCTTCTCCGAGTACGTCGCCGTCTCACTGTCGTCGCCAAGAACCGCCAGCCGCACCGCACCTTTCGCGCCATCCTCCACCGTCCCAGTTCCATTGTTGTGATTCAGGTCCGTCTTGGTATATCCAGGATTGTGGATGTTGACCTTCCAGCCCTGTCCTCTGAATCTGTGCGCATAGGTCAAAGCGAGCATATTCATCGCTGCCTAAATCGGAACAAATTAGAGATGATAAAGCAAGAAACGATATTCGCACCTTGCTGCAGCGGTACGATGGACCATCCACGAAGCTGTAAGGCCCCGTGGGGTTGGCGCGATACGTCAACGACCCCAAATCGGAGGATACGAACACAACACGGGCGGCGGCGGATTTTTCGAGCAGCGGAATAAAGGCGTCGGTGGTAGAGGCGGCACCGAAGACGTTGACGGCAAACGTTGCCTCGAAAACTGCGCGGCTGGACGGCTCCCCGGTGAAGCTGTCCAGTATGATTCCCGAGTTGTTGATCAGGACGTCGAGACGGCCAAACTTGGATTTCACGGTCTGCGCTGCGGCTTCGATGGAGCGGTCGTCGGCGACGTCGATAGCGAGCGCCTCCACAGACAACCCTTCCTTCTTTAACGCTTCCGCAGCCTTCTCTCCCCGCTCCGCATCTCTGCTCCCAATGAGAATGTGGTATCCCTTGTACTGTGA